TAGCATATCCTTTTCCTACAAATATTCCATTCTTAGTTAAAGTAAACAAATCAGAACCTATGGTTTGTATAAAACCAGCCTTATTAAGCAAAAAACCAGAAACTAAATTCTTCCTCATTTCCGGAGTGTGTAACACATCTTTTAGAATGAGAGTCCTGCCAGAAGTAAACTTCAACTCAACATTTCCAACACCAGCAATGTTAGTGGAATGGGAATCACCCAACAGTACTTTCTTATCATCGGTCTTTTCAGTGTATGTTTTAAACATTCGACGATCATAACAGACATGGCGTGTGGCACCAGTGTCTATCCACCACCCATCTGATCCACCAGTAAGGTTGATCTCAGTAATCATAGCCACAAAAGGCTCTTCAATCATGCTAGCCTGCGCTGGCACAGGGTTAGGCATGTTCCTGCACTTTCGTGCCATATGGCCTGGTTTTCCACACCGATAGCACAGAAATTGACCAGTACCATTCTTAGGGGGTTGTGACTGTTGTCTTCCATTGTTCTTTTGAACATTCGGTTTATTGAAGTTATTCTTCCGGTTCTGAGGTTTGAAATTCTTACCAGCAGGTTTAAGTACTGCAGCAGATCGCGTAGGAGCATTATTAGCAGAGATTTGTAAAATCTCTTCCTTTAGATCCTGTTTTCTGGATTCTTCTTCTATACGTAGCCGAGAGATCAAACTCTCTAAGGAGAATTCCTTAGTCTTATGCCTGAGATTATTTTTGAAATCTTTCCAGGAAGGAGGCAACTTGTCAATAATAACAGCAATTTGAAATTGTTCATCAAGGGCCATACCTTCGGAAATTATCTCATGGGCAATTTTCTGAAGGTCGTGAGACTGCACTTCCACGGACTTATCATCAGTCATCTGGAATTTTAGGTACCTACTGACAGCATACTTTTTGGCACCTGCTTCTTCAGTATCATACTTTTTTTGTAGGGCATCCCACAAATCCTTAGCAGTATTTTCCATATTATAATAGTCATAGAGGTTATCAGACAGACCATTAAGTATATAGTTTTTGCACATGAAGTCAGTTTCATTCCAGGTTTCGATTTCACTATTCAAGTAAGCTAATTCATCTTCAGGAGCATTATCAGGAATAAATGGCCGAGGGGCTGTTAAGGCAGAATTAACTTTTTTGACAGTTAAGAAAAATTGCATTTTTTGTTTCCATCTTTTAAAGTGAGCTCCTTCAAAACGGAAGGGCTTGTTAAGGTCAGCAGACATAGTAATATCTTCGGTAGACATATGGTTCTTACAGGCAGAAAATGAATGTTCTAAAATTGTTATAAACGGAACTGCGGGAAAAAAAACAGTAAGAACAAAGTTACCGAAAAATAGACTGAGTCGCGGACTATGTCGCTTTCTTTAGAACATTCACGGCACTGCCATGAAAAGGTGCAAGCAGTTCGTACTAAACCGGATGTTCCCCAGGATAAAACAGCCTTTCTGTATTGAAATTATACCGGTGGAACTGCACAAAACCACCGGGCAACTAAACACCCAAAAAGAAAAGAAACTGCTCGAGGGTTTTGTTTTTTGTGGGGAAAAATAGAGAGGAGAAGAAGATTGCTTTCTGTATTTTTTTTGTGTGTCAAAAACAGGAAATCAACACGCCTTTTATAGGAAAAATTGCAACGTAACTGCTGCTGTTTAATTAGGCACTAATCACGCAATTAAAACGGTCATAAGTTGATCGTTCAAAACGGTTACAGAAGATTAATGCGTGGCGAAACGTTTAGCAAAAAATCAGTGAAAACGTTTGCATGATTAACGCTCCATTAACCAGTTTTGAAAAAACGGTCAAATGTAATCAGTCAAAAACGTTTAGCAAAAATCAAGGAACTAATCACGCAATTAGCCTTGTCCAAAAAATAAGTTTATTTAATAAACCCGACCCGACCCAACCCGGCCCGGCCCGGCTCGGCTCGGTTTACCATATAGGTCCTCCCTCTCCACAAAATGTGGGTAGCCCAAGGGCCACACCCCTTTAGCCCACTCTCTATATTATAAAGAGAGTAAAACTCTCATTTCCCACCAATGTGGGACTTTGAGTTTTTCACAAAATTCACACACTACACACTTGTTGTTCCAACAATTATGTTTTAGAGTAATTAGGTACTCTGTTTTTTTTTTTTTTTTTTAAATACTTCTTCTAGTTGGTAACTTAATTGATAATACTGTAACTAAATTAAAATAAGATCGATGTATTTTCTATTGACAGTTTATGCTTGATTGTATGAGTTACATTACTTTATTGTAAAACAAATTATTAGTAACAAGTGTCCATGAATTGAAAAGGACATGGATATATATTAAAAAGCAGGGAGTGGTAATTGGGTGTCACTTTCAGAAATGAAATGATAAGCCATTATAAACTCAAATAAGAGTAGTGTCTTATCTTGCATCTTCATGATCTGAGGTGTTGGATGCTTTGTCGTTAATTTAGTGAATGACCCACCTACTCTAGAATCTTAGATTTAATACATCATACAAATACCTGGCCTTTTAATATTAACAAATGACAATCACAATTATTATAATTACTCAACATTTGACTCATGCTCCCATCTACCTCACGTCATTATAGTATAATTTAAGTCTATAAACAAATATTAGTTAAGGATAGAATATTATAATAATTTAAGTCTATAACAATAAACAAATTCCTACTGTATTAGTTAAGGATTTTCCTTTCACAGTAGTAAATATGTTTTACTTGTACTATTATGCATGCCTATCTATCTTCAGATCAGAGGACTTTTTGGTGATAACTTTTTGAAATATGGAGTAATTAAGTTTATGACTTTTAGTGCAAGCTACAATAATTAATTCCATGCATGATTGAGCTTTTCTTTTGAGGCATATTGCTTCATTTGTTAATTTTACCTAGAGTATAAATGAATAACCATTTGGTTCATCACAGGATTTGGACTTGAATATTTCAACACTTCATCGGAAATAAACTCAGATGATGAGTATAAAACATCAATTGATGCAATTAAAAATGTACTCAACTCCAAAAACAACATAGATACTTTGGTATGTTTCTCTGCATTACTACTTCCTTTGTCTTAAATTATGGAGTTCTCTTAATTTCCCATTTACTTAGACTGAAAACATATCCATGAATACAGTTAAACTATGCAAAATGGGAGTTTCGCCATGGACGGTTCAAGTATGGCCATCCATGGACTCAATACCAAAAAATTGGAGAGTTAGCTAGACATTGTGCCTGCAGAGCCGAAGCCCTCCACGGGTTGCTATATTCTCAAGTCCAGGCATCAAATGAAGTGAAGGCAAAATTCCGAGAACCTTGCATGAAGATTAGCGCTGAATCAGGCAATGCATTGAACGAACTTTCGATAGCTATCAAGAAAATGAATAAGCCCTCCAAGGCAAACCCTCACCTCCAAAATGCCAAACAAGCAGCTGAAAATCTCAACCTCATGTTAAATTCAAACATATGGAAAAACCTTAACCTTTCAGATGTAACACCAGCGGCCACAGTTGCCAATCTACTAGCAGATGTTGTCTCATGCACTGAGGATATTGCTGAGGCGGTCCAAGAGCTTGCATCCCTTGCCAAATTCAAGGATGTTAAGGTTTCACCTAAAATCGAAAAAGCCAAGTTGACGAATCAAGGATCCACTAAAAGGCGTTGTGTTGCTAATCATGTGATACTAATTGAGACCTCGTCACCAACTTCTTCTCCGAGAGTCTCAGTACCAAGGGATCCACCTTCCTTAGCTATGGCTCAACAAAATGCAGAGTAATACATGAACTCTGCTCATTTGTTTACATTGGGAAGGCATAGTCTTCTACAAAATTTTGAACTAATTGTTGGTCTGATCATGTTACTTTGCAGACTAATTAACTTTCTTAATTTAGAATGTATAATATGCATATATAATGCTGCAGACTAATCAATAATGTGGAATAATATGATCCGTTGATTATTACTTCAATACTTCAGATTTAATCATCATTTTTATGGTCATAAATGATGTGACTATATTAGATCTTATCATGTTATTTATGTATTCATGTTAGCCTTGTTGCCTGTTGGGCTTTGATTTATGAGGATATAAGTCAACCTAATTTGCAAACTTACTATACCTGAATTGTGAAAGGTTTTGGGCCAAAAACATGTTGTAGTCATGGGCGAATTTTAGCCCAACAAGATTGTTATTATCTTTGAAGTCCACTTGCCAAGTGCAGTTGATCTTCCACTGGTCAATGGTCAACCTTCTAGATGGAACTAAATAAGACACAATCGGAACTAATTAAAAAATTGAAAAGTGTAACCTTAAAAAATGCTTATCAGTATAAATAATGCAATACATAATCAGATGGAGGAAATGCCTTAGTGCATGTGTGGAGTTGCCACTACTAGTAAGCCAGGCTGGTTTAATTTGTTTTTCTCTATTAAATAAGATAATCTTGTTAATCTTATCTGCGCTAAACTGAACGACCGATTAAAATTAATCATCCTTGATTTCATATCATATTAATTGATATCTAATTAAACCCGATTAACCTTGATAAAGTCTTGAAATTTATTTATTTATGTATGTATGAAGAGAATGCATCGATATCATAAATGTAATATCTTAACATTATATTAATATTATGAACATACGAAGTAAGAATATAAGCTTATCATTTCCCATCCAAAATAAAGCGGTATTCAATAAAGTAACTCAATTATAGCATGTGAAATGTCCTATTAAAATGAAATAATATAATAATATGACAAGTATTTATAATGAACCTAAATACTAAAATGAATCTAATCACTATTAGTAGTATAATCTGTAGCATATAAAAGATAGCACTAAAGCTAATATACTACTCTCTAAACCAGTAATCCTTAAAACTTTAAATCGCACTACTCAAGTTGAAACCTATAGACCACACTAACTAAATATCAAACACTAATGTAGTATAAAGATATTTAGTCAAACAAGATACAAGCAGCCCGGCCCCCACGCGGTTGCACTGCATTAGCTAAGATTAATGGAACCACTATATAGCCCCAACAGTACTGCACTTCTTCTTCAGCAATTACACAGTTGTATCAGTTACACTTGTTCTTGTTTGTTTATAATAATCTAAGCTATTTGTAATATAATGGGTAACATAGTAAAAGAGGTTACAAAGTGTGTTTTAAAGATAGGGCAAGATGATCCAAGGAGAGTGATTCATTCTATGAAAGTAGGATTAGCAGTGACCTTAGTATCTCTCTTTTACTACTTTCAGTCAATCTACCAAGACCTTGGCACCACTGCTTTATGGGCTGTCCTTACTGTCGTCGTCGTCTTTGAGTTCTCTGTTGGTACTGAATTCTCAACATTATTCCTTCGTTACTTGTTTTTATTTTTTCTTTAGTAAGGTGCCAAAGATTAATTGTGTTTAACTAACTTGCATGCAGGAGCCACATTCTACAAAGGTTTGAACAGGACAATTGCAACATTAATAGGAGGGGCACTAGCAGTTGGGCTACATAGCTTGGCTACTCAATCTGGTCATATTGGTGAACCCTTTCTCATCAGCATCTTTGTTTTCCTTCAAGGTAAATTACTAATTATTATCACTAGTTATTAACATAAAGATCGATTTCAATAGTATACATAATCCAACACTATATATATATACGAAGGTAACAGTGTAAGTTGATGTATGTTAATGCAGCTTCTTTGTCGACGTATGCACGATTTTACCCAAAGATCAAAGCAAGATATGATTATGGGTTCCTCATCTTCATACTGACCTTTTCATTAATATCCATCTCTGGATTCCGCGTTGAGGAAATTATAGACTTGGCTCGCGATAGATGGGCTACAATTTTAATTGGTGTTTTTGGTTCTCTTCTTGTTTCTATACTTGTTTTTCCTGTTTGGGCTGGTGAAGATCTTCATAACTTAATTGCAAACAACTTCGACAAACTTGCCAATTCCTTAGATAGTATGTAATTAATTAATTAATGTCATCTCCTCTCTTTTTAGTGTATTTTTTCATTTCATTAATTTATATATGTGTGGCTGCTTAATTAATACAGAGTATTATCGAGGTTAAATAATAAATGAGTCATACGATTTCAGGATATGGAAATGCTTACTTCAAAATGAAAGAGAATTGTACTGCAAACGAAATTCAAGTATCAAGACTTCGAAGTTACAAGAGTGTTTTCAACACAAAGGGCAATGAGGAAACCTTGGTACTTAATACAAACACAACTACATACATACAACTACTAGCTACTTGTTCATCTGTTAATATCCTAATCTAAGCTATTACGTAAATGTCAACAGATTAATTTTGCAAAGTGGGAGCCAACTCATGGTTGTTTTAGGTTCAAGCATCCATGGAAACTATACCTACAGCTAGGAGCTCTTTCTCGAGAATGTGCCTACAAGATTGATGCGCGCCTTAATGCAAATATTAAGGTATATATCCATCTTCTATTGTCATACTCACATACTTTCACATTTACATCTCATGAAACATTGAAACATATGATACATTACATTATTTGTGTACCTCATAAGCTGCTCCCGCCAGCTACAATACTAGCAAATTAATTAATAGCAATGTTTGATTTTACTCTTTGATTTGTAATTTATGGCATACATCACCAAATTCTCAACATGAATTCAGTGCAACTTGTAATCGAATGACATTAGAAGCAAGCAAAACACTAAAAGAGCAAGCAATTGCATTGAAGACTATGACCCGGCCTTCTCGTTGCAAAGTTTATGTTGCAAAATCCAAACAAGAAATGAAAAGCTTGCATGAATTGTTGAAATCAACTACATTATGGGAAGACTATGAGCTGCAACTGCTCCATGTCATTTCAGCTACAACAATCATATCCATACTAACAGATATTGTTATTTGTACTGAAAAAATAGCAAACTGCACCAGTGAACTTGCTTCCTTGGCACATTTCAAGACGACTAAGCTAGAAAAAACACAACCCGAGTCAAAAAGTATTGATCAAGAATTGGGAAAACCGGTTTTCATAACAAGTGATGAGAGACAAGAACGGAATCCAAGTGATGTCAAAGTTGTGAATTGCTCCCATACAGCAATAACAATTGAAGCAGGAGACTAAAAATATATCATCCTTCAAAAATCTGTTGCGAGTTTAGTGTGTATACTAATTAGTTGTGAATTAAATAATGAATGACATCTCTTTATTCATCAAGTTACTTACAAATTAATTTCTTGTTAGGAAATAGATGAGGATCGATTGATTTAGGTTATGTGTTTGATATGCGCGGAACATAGATAACAATATATAAAACATAAATTTGAGAAATAAGTAGAAAATAGATTAGATGAACACACATATATACGTAATTCGGTAAACAAGACCTACGTCCACGGGGTAAGGGATAATACGTACATTCTTATTAGCTTTCATGGAGGATACATAAGAGAGATAACAAAAGGAGATGCAACACTCTCCATTTCACAAAATCTCTCAAAAAGTGGATTACATAACGACTTGAATTGAATAGGCTAATTAATCATATTTCACACTTTTAATTGTCCACCCAATGGCTCCTTATATTACATAAGGAAACCATAAAGAAACCCTAAATTATTCCCCAAGGAATACTCAAATAGCCATCAAAGAAAAGAAATAATTTTAGGAAATATCCCACAAATTATCCTAGAAGAACCGAACTACCAAGCTATAGCTCGGCAGCTAGCTCAACCCTACCGCAAGTCTTCATAGGGCCGAGCTATAGCTCACTCGCCTAGAGCTATAGCTCACTCGCCTAGAGCTATAGCTCGCTCGCTCGTCGCAATTTTACAGGTTCGTTAGATTTTCGTAAAATAGCCATAACTTTCTCGTTTCTTATCGGAATTGGGCATATAACCTATCGTTGGAAAGCTCTTGAAACAAGCTATCACCTCCAACTTGAATCATCTCAAGATCACTTTTGAATTGAGAGATATGTGCGTTTGAAGTTGACCCTTTGCCATTGTACTAGATTTCAAGTCATATCTAACAATTCTCTTGGTTTTAAGTTGTTTGCATGAAAATATAAGATTAGTATAGACATAGTCTTTAATTTATCACTTATCAACCCTGAAATACTTGTAAATAGAAACAACCAAACATGCACACACACTTTTAAATATATCATATTATTGTCAATTCATGTTTTTAGGCCCAATGCAGATTTCGATCCATCGAGACTATATCATCCCCATTATATATTGTGAATTTGTGAGCTAATCTTAGCTTACTTGAGCCCATTACTCCTAATGACGCCCATGATATCACGGATTTACCTTTAATCATTACGATTTCACTTTAAATATCATACATGCACCTTGGTACAATTGTATAAGTATCTTTTTTTTTTTTGACTTCAAATTACAATGTTGATTTACCATAAGAGGGGCATTTTCACTTTTTCAGGACCAATCCTAAAAAACTGCCTAATACCTATGATTTTCATAGGGCCTTAGAATGGGTATCATGTCAACTATATGTACATTCTGTTTCATAAACATGATATTGCAATTTTGCAAGATGAACTGCTTTTACAAGGATTGGAGTTGATATTATATATAGACAGAGATGATTTGATCAGACAGATGAATAAAAAGGTTTTAACAACTTATTTTGAGATGATAATCAAAGTAACTTCTCAATTTAAGTCCTATTCTTATCACCTTAAAATTTTATTTAATTTATTTAAAAAGCTTGGCAATTAGTAATCATTTAAAGTGTTAAATTTGTCAACACCTTATCGTTTTTGGTATTTGATTATATTAGATGTGTAGCCAAACATAGCCGGACAAAAATCACAAGAGACGAGATCTCCAATCTTTATATGAGAAATAGTTCCTATAATAATAGGAAGAATTTCGCATATTCTAGCAATATCGAAGAATTATAATGTATGCAGCCTTTTACGATCAACACACTAACCCTATATTTTAGTTGTAATTTGGCTATTAATAAACGGCTGACAATCTGTGATGCATCATAAGGCTGCATCTTCCTTTTTGACCCACCCTACTTCTCGTAGTACTCAATCTTGATTTTTCTTTTTTATTATTATTATTATTATTATTATTATTATTATTATTATTATTATTATTATTATTAGTTTTCTATAATAATAATAGCTAGTGTGGTGACCCCAGTGCGCGATACTGTATTATTACTTAAAACAGCATATTTTATACTTTGTATAGTTACTTAAGCTCCTAATCACATTTTCTGAATAGAAGCTCATAACTCTGTACATAATAATGAGCATTAGTAAGCAATGAAGCGGAACAATTACAAAAAAAAAAAAAAAAAAAAAAAAAAAAAAAAAAAAATATCTAATAAGTTACAAGTAGATGTATTCAATTTGAGTTAAATTATAAAAGCATAAATAAAAGACGATTAAGATGATAAGACATCTAATTCAATTTCAACACTATAAAATTTTATTGTGAATAACGTGACATGATTTTAGTGCATGAGAAAGGTGTCACGTGATATGTATATTTTTTAAAAACGCTTTTTAAAAAACTATTATCCTCAGCTTGGAATTCCTGTAGAGCACGCCCTGTGTTAATAAAAACATCGAGCGGTCAGTAATTATCTTAGGCCATCACGACAGTAACAGTACACACCACTTACTCACTTAGGCACTTACCGATCACCTCCCTCTGTTCCTGTCTTACACCATTTACACACGCTTTCTATTGACGGACTACTTTCAAAACGACACCACTTAGTGCTTTATTATTATGCATTATAATATAATTATTGTACATTTGTCATTACTTTATTTTATTTTATGTTATAGCTCGTGTAAATTTCATTTTGCATTCCATCATATCGATCGTATGGCCCTATAAATACAGCTGATGACTTGTGCTGATGTTGTCCACCTTCCACTTCTCAATTACAACCTCCTTTCCAAAATATAAATTATAACCAAAAAATTAAAGCGAATTTCAATTCTAACCAAATGGCCACCATGAATGTTGTTTCATCTCCAAATAATGAAACAAAAGGTGGTTGTACCCGAGCATGCCAATATCTAAAGTCCTTGCCTAAGAGTGTAAAGGACAATGTTGTCAACTTTACCCTCGAGGCCAAAAAATTAGGGCAAGATGATCCTAGAAAGATTTATCATGCCTTAAAAGTCGGCTTTGCTATAACAGTTGTTTCTTTGTTCTATTACTTCCAAGCTCTCTATAATGGATTTGGTGTCTCTGCTATGTGGGCTGTTATCACTGTTGTTGTCGTTTTTGAGTTTACAGTTGGTAATAATTTATATTTGCAATTATTTGTACGTAACAACTAATTAGCATCTTTAACAAACTTAATTATAATTACGTTGCATTTGTGTGGGCATGCAGGAGCAACCTTGGGAAAAGGTTTAAATAGGATGATCTCCACTTGTGTGGCAGGGTTTCTAGGGGTGGTGGCCCATTACTTGGCTGATCTTTCAGGGGAGACAGGGGAACCTATTTTACTTGCTCTCTTTGGCTTCATAGTAGGTACGGATATACATGCATATAACATATGTATTGTTACACTATAATATACGAATTGAAATACACATTATTCAATTCATACAACTAATAGAATTGAAGTTTTTCACTAATTAAAGACTAAAAATGGTTTGGATGCAGCTTCTATACTTACATTCATGAGATTTTTTCCAAAGTTGAAGGCAAAATATGATTATGGACTGATGATCTTCATCCTAACCTTCGCTTTGGTGGCGGTTTCGGGATATCGGGATGATGAGGTGATAAAGATAGCCCAACAAAGGCTGGCCACGATCTTGATAGGAAGTTGCATTGCCATGCTTATTTGCATACTTATTTCCCCTGTTTGGACAGGAGCTGAACTCCACAATCTCATTGCTTCCAACATGGAAAAACTTGGCAATTTCTTAGAAGGTACATCTTTTTTCGATCTGGTTCTTATAATCACTTAGTTAACTTTAGTGCATGTAGCTATCATATAGCTAGATTAATTAGTAATACAACGATCTATAATAACTTGCCATTTCCTTCAAATTTCATTAAGAAAATCTGTTACACTTTCTTTCACCCTTTCGAGATTAATTATATATTTATATAGTGGTTCTTAATTAAATTAGCTCATCACCCTCAAATGGTAAAAATCCACAGGATTTGGAAGTGAATATATGACAACAAAGGACGAAAAGTCAAAAGAGGAGAAGTCTTTTCGTCAACAATACAAAAGTGTACTAGGTACCAAAAGCACCGAAGAGACCATGGTAAGCTCATATTCTTTTTTAGCTTAAATATTTAACAAACTATTATATGTACTAATTAATTCAAATATTATCATATTCTAGGCAAACTTTGCATTTTGGGAGCCTAGCCATGGCAAGTTTAAATTCCGTCATCCATGGAAGCAATACCTTAAAATTGGAGCCTTAATTCGAAAGTGCGCCTATAGTATTGATGCTCTCAATAACTACCTTAACCCCGACATCCTACAAGTATGTAACAATTTTAAACACGAAATATCTATCCTTGTTCAACAAATAGACGTGCTAACACAATATATGTTGATTTTTGTAAGATGCAGACACCAGAAGAAATCGAAGAAATGATGAGAGAAGCATGCAAAAAATTAAGCAACGAATTAGGCAAAGTACCAAAGGAGGCAGCTATAGGGTTAAAGAAGATGAGGAAGACATCAACACCAAAAACACAATTAGCCGAAACAAAAGAAGCAGCTAAAGAGCTAAAAAGGTTGTTACAAGACACAAGTGTTTGGGAAAAAAGCAATCTCTTAGATGTTTTACCAGCAGTAACGGTAGCATCGATACTAATCGATATCGTTGATTGTGTAGAGAGCATAACAGAGGCGGTACACGAATTAGCTTCCATGGCGGATTTTAAGACCATGGACAATGAAATAGTCTGCCCTGAAAAAGAGCTCTCCCAGATAGTTGTTGTTGGGGATGTCACTGATATTGACACTCATGTTCCTGATCATCAGAAAGTGACAACTTCATCAGCTGAATCAGAAACCAAAACTTCTCACTAAAAAAAAATTATATTGTATGCATATTCTACGTCCGTACTATCAAGATGCACGTATAGTAGATTAGTAGCTGTGTAAATTGTCAGTTATCCACTTTCTTTTTTTTTTTTTTTTTGTTGGCAAAGTGTATCCACTATCCAGTTATATACTTACATACAATTACTCGGCTACAAATAATTAAGAATAACTTAGGTTGAGTTGAAACATTACTCATTCTTATGATCATAGTCTGTATAATTACACATATAAACAACAAAAACACATAATAATATATGATTATGTATCATGCACTTCGAATTCACAGTGCATTATAATGTTTCTATAATCATATTTATGTTTCTACAATTTTTAATTTATGTGTACTAATAAAGCAAAAAATATGTTTATACTATGTAGTAGGATTATATTGGAATACCAATTATTCTTTATCAAAATCTTATGATCTTATTATATACATTCTGATTTTAGAATGTGGCATAGAGTTTTATGAAAAGTGTACAAATGCTTGCACGGCATTATATGTTCAATTCTATTTTGATTCACAATTATTGCTTCAATCATACCCACTATGCTGCTAAATCAAGTGAATTTGGGGGGTTCGACCATTCACAATTATTTTCTCTTAATACTAAGCCTTTGTTTTCGTCACTTATTTTCACTTATTTCAGATTTAATACAGAGTAAGTTCTTATAAAATAAGATAAGAGATAATAAATTTAGATTAAATAACATTAGGGTTAATAACTTAGATAAGATAAAATAAGATTGATAAGTTATCCTGATAAAATAAAGATAAGTTATTCTTTTTTTGACACAAAAGATAAGTTATTCTGATAAGATAAAGATAAGTTATTCTTTTTTTGACACAAAAGATAAGTTATTCTGATAAGATAAAGATTGATAAGTTTCACTAAGGTCTAACAAGTTTGCTATTTGGATTCAAGGATCTTCAAACTCTATATGCCCCTTCTCCTTTCTTCCTTTTTCTCTCTAGGTTTCTTCAAAATTAGTGTTTTATAAGTTGGAAATAACAATAGCACCTTATATAAGGTTCAATAAGGTCTATTAAAATTTAACAAGATAAAATTAGGTATACAACTGAAAGTTATACAATGTATGAATGTATGATTAAGATAATTTTCTGTGAATATTAAATGAAAAATAATTTAATGTTGTCGTATGTACACTGTGAATGAGGGGTGGACTATCCGGAGAAAGTGAAAATCGACAAAAATTGATGTCTGATTAATATAATCACCAGGAGTCCACTAATGTAAAAAAAGGTTATTAGCACCAGACCACATTTCAACCAGGTTCCATACCAGTATTATCAATTATACCTACCTATCATCTTTGCTTTATTTTGAGTTTTTAAAGGCTCCAAATTAAATATTCAGAGAATTAATTATTATAATGAAGAGAAGTAATCAAGTGATTTTTTGGGACTGCAAGCCCATACATAATTATATAGTCCGCCTCCTTTATTTGCTAATACTCCGTATCTGATTTGATATCTATGTCCTGTTATAAAACACAAAAAATTCCAAATTCCTTGTGCTACGTACGCATTAATAAATTTATAATACTCTCATAATTCACTTAAAAAGTGTTTGGACTTTGGATTATTGTATATAAATTGTTTTAATTGTAGCGAATGAAATAATTGAATAGTTCTGTAAATGGTAATAAATACTATATATTTTTGTTTTCTAGGTAAAATTTGTTTGTGAATGATGAATACATAGAGAAAGAAAGATAAAGATTGAGGAGAAAAAAGAGATGAGAACTTGAAAAGAAAATAAAACATTTTTTTTTGCAGATAATGTATAGCAACCAATTTTATTAAGTTATACAAGTAGTATATTTTTATTTTTTTTTTATTTTTTTTTTGAAAGAACAAGTAGTATATTCTTAAGTGTACTTTTTATCTATCTTGTTTACTTATTTCCATATTAATTTATTATAAAGAATCAAACTATAAGAAGTTGATCGTTAATTAGACAATAGTTCTATTTTCCTCTAGAAAGATGTTTTTTTTTTTTTTTTAATAAAATTAGACTCCGTAGTAGTTTTCATTAAATATTAATATGTTGTAATCATAGACTCATATAGTGGCGTAAATGTGATTATAAAGTTGAGAATGAACGGAACGGCCTTGTGTACTTGTAAGTACAACGAATGACATAGGACTAATAAGGCCAGTGTACTCGTCTTTTTCTGATTAAAGGGAAATAAACCTAAATTTTCAAACATCTGTGACTCTAATTAATATATACGTGGGCCTATTGTTTACCTATTTTTTAACCATTCTTCCTGGCGAATTATGACACCATTGAATTTGAGACTTCTTGTCATTATCAATAGATAATGGTATTCACGAAATTGATTTAATTTGAGAATAATTGAAGATAATTTGTTAAACCACCCAATTCTAACTTTCAATTTAAGTCAAGAGAGGAAGATTATATTGCTACGATATATGAAGACAATCGACAAATCACCCATGGCCGACAATCAAATGAGGTCATGGATATTTTCAGTTGTAATTAGATAATAACTAGGAATTTTTAACAATAAATAAATAAAATCAATTAATTTACATAAGGGAATAGGAGTCAATCATGATCAGAATTATATGTACTCCTTTCACCCTTAGACAATTGAAGTTATTTGGTACAATTGTTAAAAATGATTTTAAGAGTTAGAACTTATAAGTGACTTAAATTGAAATAGTACATTAGTATTTATGTAGTTATGTGCATCTAAAAGCATTTTTTTTTTTTTTTTTTTTGTTGGAAACAAGCCTAAAATTACATAGCCTAAAATCTTGCTCTGATCACCATTTCTTAGTTTTCTCATTTTTATTCTCAAACCCACCAAACATTAAGAAATGAAGGGAATATACATTTTCAAAATAATGAAAAGAAAGACATACAAATAGTGTCAAAAATCAATATAAATAGAGAATTAGATTTGGATTTAATTTTATTATGACAACTAAACAATAGTTATCACAATTCTTACAATTGCCAACTTCTTGGTTCCCCCTTAATTTTTTAATCTTAAAAGTAAATTCTCTATATTACAACAACAATAATAAAAAAAAAAAATTGACAACTACTACTACTACTACTAATAATAATAATTAGGTCAAAGCAGAGGAATTTCACTTCTCCTTATTTCCGCGTCAGGTTGCCTTATGGAAGTCCCACCAAAGGGATCTTACTTCTGCCTGGTTGCGAGCGGTCCTAATATCGGGGTTGGGTCAGACTATGAACAGTAAGGCTTACCGTTCTGTTCTATGCTACCGGTTGGGTGTTCCTTTATTCTCCATTTCGACACCGTGTTTTGCTTGCTCAAGGGTTTTCGATGGGGATATTTTTTAGGATCATGCAGTGTCCTGTGCTGGGATGGTGGGTATTAAACATCGGCATAATGTTGTTCGCAATACCCTTGTTGATATTTGTTTTCGGTCTGGGATTTCTGTAAGAAAGGAGGTTAACGTTGGGTTGACTAGAGGGAACGATGGGCCTCTTCGACCTGCAGATGTGTTACTTTATTCTTGGGACAGAGGCCTTAATGTGTGTGTTGACTTGACGGGGTCTTCTCCCTTAACACAATCTGGGTTGTCTGATTTCGTTCCTGGTCGTGTTGTGTCAGTCGCTGCTCATCGGAAGCGGCAAGTATGGGGCGCGTTGCAGAGCTATTGGCTATGGTTTTCTTCCTTTCTCCTTTTCTTTATTGGGGGAATTAGAGAATGATGTTGTTGCGTTGCTGAAGCAGGTTCAGGCGTTCGCTGACTCAGGATATTGGTGCTCGTGCAACTGCCCACATCTTCAGCAGGATCAGGTTCGCTATAGCTAGAGGGCTGGGGGCCAGATTGTATCTCGGCTTCCCACTAATTTCTTGTAATTTGGTTGATTTTGTAGGTTTTGGTATTTTTTTTTATAATAATAATAATAAGGATTATTTTGGATTTTAACACCTTACAAAAGGCTGAAAATGTTTTTTAACACCCCCCAAAAAAAAACTTTTATTTTAACACCTCCCAAAAATATAAAAGTTGGAAGTTAACACCAGTTAACGATTTCCGTCACGGAAATTTAACGTGGGTCCCACAAATTGGCTTGAACTTCAATTTTCACCCAGCAAAACACGAAACTTCTTTCTTCATTGAATTCGCAGCAACCTTCTGCATTGAATTCTTTCTGAACCTTCATTGATTTCGCTTTTGAACCAAAGGAGATCTTGGCTGAGAAGTGGAGTGTAGGGTGGTGTCAACGTTGGAGAAGATAAGCTCAGGAGGGTTTCTTCATCATCTTCTTCAACTACAAAAGTGCGAAAGCCGCTTGAAATTCACAGAAAATAAGGTAAAATTGCTCTCCTTTGATAGCAATTTCGTCAATTACTGGTGCTTCATTGCTGTAAACCTTGCAATAATTGGGTAATTAGGGTAAATTTTGGGACCACAGTAGGAAAGCCTTGATAAATCAATTTCTTTAACTGACTATGCGACTTAGGTTAATTGGATTTCGTAATTGAAAGTAGAGATTAATTAAGGTGGTTTATTGTTAATTAAACTAGCAAGTGTGGTTTGTTGATTAATTTATGTTACTGAGCACCTACATTGGCTTGTATATGTTTATTTTCAATTTTTTTATGTGTTTGTTTGTGTGGCTGTGATGGATTTGTTTATTCGTATTGTGCATGTATAGTTACATGGCTTTTAATATGTTTTATATGTTTTTCACTGGTGGGTAGATAATGGGTGACAAGGATAGTTTGGTTGACATCTGCCTTAGAGTGGGAGGTGCTTTTGTCCCTAAAAGAGTAACCAAAAACAGGCAGCTGCTGTGTTGGTGTGGTGGTTGGTGTTACTGGAAGAGGAAGGTTCAAGTATCTAAGTTGGATGTGCATTTGATTAGAACAGCTGCAATTCATGGTTTTGTTAATGGTGATATGGATGTGCCTATGCATTACAGCTGTTGGTATAGGCAGAAGGGGAAAACCTTTAACACTGGGAAAAGGGAACTAGTTAACAGTGAAGAGGTTAAGGGCCTTTTGGAGACAGTAAATGAAGAGGGGTATGTTGAGGTTTTTGTAACAACAGAAGCTCCTAGTCAGCCCATACAAGAGGCCCAACCCAATCCTGCAAAGACAAAAAAAAAGGATAAGAAGGTAGAAAGTTCAAATACATCGACTATTAGGAGGAGCCCTAGGTTTAAGAAGACAGAAACTGAACAAAGGGAGGAGAGTCCACCTAGGAAAGCCTCAGCTAATGCTAAAGTGTTGAGGTTTGATGAAGAAAAGGATGATGGATGTGAAGGATCTGGTTATTCAAG